TTAACTGTCTGAAAATGAACCAAAAAAAAAAATAATGCTTTCATTTCATTATCCATCTTAAGTTCTATAGTAGTTATTCAATTAAATATGTCTTGAAAATCACTCAAGTGCTTTACAATCAATCATCTATCCCTGTATTATAAAGTTACAAGTTTTTTAACAAGCATAACTTTATTCATACCTATTTTCTTTCATACAATGCTACCAATTTTTCTCAAATAATGTGGGTATTTATCTCTTCGTTACATGATAGAATATGCTGATATCAACTCATTTTTTTATTGTAGCTAGCGTCTTTCTGCCTATCTTCTTTCAGTTTTAATCTTTCATATCTGGCTCGTACAAATTTTTACAGTATAAATGATCTTCCATCATAGGCTTTCAAATTAAATAATTTGATGCTATCAATTTTATCATGAAACTTGTATCACCCTTTATGATTTTAAACAGAATTTACTTCTGTCTTAGATTACTTCTATATCAATGTTTCAAAATAACAATCGCTTTGATACCACTTGTTAGGGATATAAGCCACATTCAGAGCTCACAGGAGCACACCAGAGAGCTCATACATACATGTTGAACACAACTTGAGCCCAAAAGCTTAAATTATTAAATTCTTAGGTCTTTCATACATATATAGGATATCTTATTTAAATTTTCTAATGATGTGAGATTTTTTACTCACATATGAACCATATCCCAACAGTTTCTTGCTAGACAACACCATCATTTTTCTTCTTTCAACTATAATGACTTTTGCCTTGGTTAAACTATTTAGCCATATTTATAGATCTTGTAATCCTACTTCTATTGTAACTAGAAAAGGGATTTCTCCGCGTCGACGTTGCAGTGAGTTTCATGTTCATATCTGGCAAATGTATTCTAACAGCATCAACACAAACTTAGCCCATGGCCAAAAGTTTGAAAAAACTTTTAAATACATTCCATTTATTTCCACTTTTTTTCTTTACATCTCTTCTCTTTTAAAAAAAAAATTTTTTCTAAATAAAATTATTTAATTATACTTCTCACAAATTATCCTAATAAGAATTTTTTATATGTTATAAAATTTACCTTAAATTCATTTTTGAAAAGTTGAAAATGAAAGTTTTAAGAAAAATTAAGAAAAAGAAAATTTTTATTAATTGGTGTATTAAAAAATCATAAATTTCAAAATTAATAAAAAAATTAATTATATTATTTGGACCTTAAATAAAATAAAATCTTATTTTAAATAAATTAAGGATAAAATAGTAAATGTAATTTTGTTTATAAATTATAAATTAATTATTTTTTAATAAATATTTTTTATTAGTATTAACTATTAAAATTTTATAATAGTTTTAGCTAAACTAAACTTTTAAAAGAATTCTGTATATCTATTTATCATGATAGGTTTCTCTAGTTAGCATATTAAGTTTTTGACAAAATTATGTAATATTCGGTAATATTACTTGTCCAGATTCAAGGAGTCTCAATTCTAAAATATTGATTAGATTTGGTAATTCTTTTATCATCTTTCCTAGCATCAAGAGATGAAAAGTTTAATTAATATCTCATAAAATTTTATTCTTTCTTTAAGGTTAAAACAATAAAAATAACTTCTTTCTTATTAATTTTAAAATTTATTATTTTATCAATAATAATTTTTTATTACATCAATTAAAAAAAATCTTTAATAAAATTTTTTTCTATAAATTTCCTTAAAAATTTTATAAGTTTTCTCTACATAAATGAATTTCTGAAAAGTTTTATATAATATTCCGAAAATTCATTTTTGGTAAATTATAAAATTTACTCAAAATTTATTTTTAGTAAGCTATAAAATTTATCAGATATAAATATTCAAAAATTTATTCAAAAGATAATTAAGTGATTTTATTTACAAAAATTTTAAATATATAAATGAAACAAAAAATTGTAAAATATATATATGAAACAAAAAATTTCCAATATATATATATATTTAAAGCTTTTTGTTTCATATATATATTTTAAAAATTTTTGTTCTATATATATATATATATATATATGAAAAGAAAAAAGTGGATTGTATTTGGAAGCCCTCAAGTTTATAACCCTATATTAACAATAAACCAGTAATTTCAAGGACAACCCTGCCACTTGCAAAGATATTGGGTCATAATCTTATCTTCTTTTTTCACTTAAACTTTATTGTTGTCAACATTTTTAAACTAACGTTTGATATTTTTTAGAATATCATTATGGTACTATAATCATTGGAATGATCTTATTATTAAAGTAATTTTAACATTTGATGATTTGAAATTATTTTATTTAGTTAATAATAATTAATTCTTAGAAATTAAAGATCATTGAGTTTGGTATTACTAAAAATCAAATATTATTTTATTTAAAAATATAAAAATAATTATGTAAATTATAATATTTATATAAATTAATAATTTTAAGGGTGTTTAAGGATAATAATTTGTAAAATATTAGTAATTAAAATATTATAAAGATAATAATTGGTGATTTGAAATCATTTTTTTATTAACAATCATTAATTCTTAGAAATTAAAGATCATTGGATTTGATTTTACTAAAAATCAAATATTATTTTATGTAAATGTACTAAATAACCATGCATATTATAATAGTTATATAAATTAATAATTTGAAGGTAGTTTAAAGATAATAATTTATAAAATATTAGTAATATTTATTTTTTTAATAAAATATTATTAAAATACTAAATTAATAAATATATTTATTGATAGATAAATTGATTTTCATAATATAAATTATGTAAAAAAAATTTGAGTTAGAAAATAAAACTAATCCATTAAATCCATAATAAAAGAAAAACAAAAAATTACCTCACATATAAAATATTAAAAAAATATATAAATTATTTTTCAACTTGTTATAATAAATATTAGTTTGAAAATATAAAAACTTACAATATAAAATAATTACAATTTTAAAATACAATAAATTTTTAATTCATATATTAGATGAATAAAATTAATTATTATTAATTTACATATCATTTCACCTCGATGATAAAATTTTTTTACCATTTTCTATGAAAGTTAAATCACACTTTAAGATAATAATCTAACTACTCAAGGTGATCTAAGATCACTATCACATAAGATCATTAAATGTTTATAAAACACAATGATCTAATCGCTATGTGTAAATTAGTATGGTTTTTAGAGTAATCATCATGTACCAAACATTATCTAAAAGAAAACCAAGCCAACACACAAAATTAAACAAAAGGCAGATGACTAAACAGATAACCACATGAAGAGACTAAAATGTGGCTGAATTCTCATTCTTGTGAAATCAAATGTAGGAAAGCTTCCCAATTTGAGCTAGTATACATAGTATAGAACAAGATTATCTACTTATTTAAACTTAAAGGCAAGAAATGCTGAAATTCATGCCTTGTCTCAGTTAATCACAAATTATAAGGTTCTAATCCACACAAAGGAAATATGTTAGAAACACCAATAAGTTAGCCCATGGTAAAATATGGAGGACTTATTTAGCAAAAGGATAAGCAAAGATAAGGTGTTGATTACAGTAGTCGCCTTCGAAAGTTGCGGGTAGTGCCATGGTAGGTACGAACCAGCAAACCAACTCCTATCCCAATTCCAACACACTTGCTGAGAACAATTCCAACACCCACACTCACACCAGCGTTGAACCAAGTGAGCTCCCCATCTTCACTATCAAAACAGTCCATACCTGAATGCACATAGCTGTACTCTTCACTTTCTGATTCAGGTATCTGCAAAAGGGGGGAAAGAAATGAAAAGCAGAATGGTAGTTCAAACAGACATTGTTTGTGTATTGTATTCCCATAGTTTTCAAGATAATTAACCAAATTCAAATATATGGATACATCAATATGGTTGGCACTTGGCGAAGTCACTAGCTAAAGAAAACCCTTCATTATTTGATCTAAGACCCAATAGCTTGTAAGAAAACTTGTTACTTCTTTTTTAGTTCATCTCGCAAAAACATGAAGCAGTTCCACTTGTTTTAGAGAAAAGACATTGTGAGGTACCTTCTTGAGGAGAAGAGTGGGGAGGTAAGAACAACTACTCCAATAGAGACATATATTTTTGTAGTCGGATTTGACCATCATATGATCATCTAGGCAATAAGCTGGTATGTTAACGCAAAAAGCTAAGCAAGGAAACTAGATTCTAAGTTACGGTATTAGGTTTCTAGCAATTAACAGATCTTTTTGCCAAATTATTACTACTCGGGATGTTTGAGGTTCAGAAGGATACCTTGACGAAACAAGACAATACCCCAGGACAATTTATACCCAAACCATAGTAAACTGTAAACTGCATAACAGCCTTTCAATGAGATTGACCTCAACATGATATTCAAGTCTTTCTCTACTCTTTCAAAGGCTAGTATCAGGCAAAATATACCTATCTAATAAAACAAAATGTTCAGGTATGCATATGACTTTCACAAAGGATTACTGCAAACATCAGATGTACAAGTGTTGTTGCGGCAAGCAATGTCTGAGCTTCTTGACCAGAAATGTTGAAGATTGCCCCCACTTACTCACAGCTTTCAATACTTGGCTCGCAAGGGTATATGCGTATGGACATATGGTGTTGGTGGGTGGATGCTTTGATTATGGAGGTTTAGTTTACTCTGTTGACTTCTGTGCAAATACTAAACTGATGCATTGATGTGTAGAGTCAAACTGACTATTTTGTACATAAAACCGGATATTCCCCAATGTTCCAATGTACGCAACAGAATAAAAAACTGAATGCTCTTAATGCTTTTCCTTGAAGCTGTCCTGCACCTCTTGAACTTACCTTTAATTTTATGTGAAAGGTCCTTGAGTAGTATAGAGTCAAATGGAAGAAAATTATTTATATGAACTACATATGGTAACATTTATTATATTTAAAAAATTTAAAATTAAACACTTTAAATTTCCATGAAGATAAAATTATAATTTTTCTTGTAGTTGTAATAATTATATTAATATTAGTAACTAACTCAACAAGCAAGCAAGCAATCTTGAACATAAGAATAATTGAGATTTATTGAGAAAATTTTTTTTAATACATCATCATAAACTATAGAAAATCACCAAAAATAAATAGGAAAATTGTCATCCTATTGTTGAAACTAGCCCGTACAATGCGAGGGCAGGCAGCATTCGGTTGCTCTGTCTTTGGTTGCATTCAAAAACCTTGGATTTCTTAAGCATCATAAAACATTGAAGGGTGAGAAGACTGTCCGACCCTGCTTGATGGCTCAAACCAGCAATTCGATCCACATTTAAGGTTTTAGCCACTTTCTCCAGGCCACCATCCAGGCCAAAGAATCTAAAGGTGTGCTTGATGTCAAAAATCTTGTAACCAAAGAAAGAAACTAATTGTTTCATGAAAGATTTAAACTCCGGTGGTAGTGGTTGCTGAGTTAAAATCCTCATCAAAAACCCAAAATCATAAGCACCATGAAAGGTGATCCAGTTGAGTCCTCTAAAATAATTGAATAATCCAGAATTCCAAATCATCATTGAAAAGTCTATAGAATCAATACCCTTCTCCTTATTTTTTTCAAAATCAATACCTTGTTGTTTTAGTAACTCAATGGACTCCTTAACATAAGAGTCTTTTTTCATATCAAAATCTTTAAAATTAAACTCCCATATGTAACAGAAAGGAGTACCAAAATCTGGCAGATTACCTTCATAATCAGCAAGGGTTAAGCCTAGTTGAATAATCTTTAAGCCATCGACATTCGATTTCATATACTGGTAGTTGATAACAGGATTGGCCTCTTGAATGACTCGTTTATAAGGCTTGAAAATCGTACCTGGAAATTCGGTATCCATGGAGACAAAAGGATACTCCAAAATTGCACTCTGGATTATCGCAAACTCACTTTTCAAATCTTCTGCAAAAACTTGTCTAACAATCACAGGTTTCTTGCCAGACAATGCCATCTTTTTTTTTTTTGTTCGACTATAATGAATTTTGCTTGGTGAAACTTTGCAGCCATATTTATAGATCCCTTAATCCTACTTCTATAGTAACTAGGAAAGGGTTTCAATCCTACTTCTATTGTAACTAGGAAAGCTTCTAAATACATTCCACTTTTTCTCTTTATATATTTTTTAAAATTTTTTTATAAATAAACTTATTTAATTATCTTTCTTCTAATATGAATTTATGATAAATTATAAAATTTATCGAAAATTTTTTCTAAAAAATTAAAATTAAAATTTTAAGAAAAATTATGAAAAAAAAAATTAGAAGTTTTTATTAATTAGTGTAATAAAAAATTTATTATTGAAAAAAAAATCATAAATTTTAAACTTAATAAAAATAAGTTAATTATATTATTTTGACTTTAAAAAAACCTTATTTTAAATAAATTAAGAGTAAATAATAAATATAATTGTTTTATAAATTTAAATTTTATTATTTTTTAATAAATATTTTTTTTATCAATTGCTAAAATTTTATAATAATTTTAACTCAACTAAACTTTTTGGAGAATTCTCTATATCTACTTATCAGATTGTGTCCAATGCAGTCAAACCAAAGAATCATAACGGTTAGTTTGTAGTAATTTCAAGATCTTACATCAGTTGCATAAAAAAAAAAAAAAAAGGAAAAAAAAAAACCCTTGATTAATCTAGTATTTATGTTTGATATATAGGATGGCTTGGAATCAAGACCAAAGCCAATTACTCTTCGAAGATTGCATAAAATCATACGTGAAATTCTTGGAAGCCGTGCCATGGAGCGAGGAGGAGGATAAGAAGACAGTTTTAAGCTTGATCTCTTTCTTGTGTGAGGAGGAATCGAAGGAACTTCTCGCTAGAGTTTCACCAGGTAAAAATGATTCTTGTGAAGAAATGTTGCACGGAATGATTTTAGCAGCGATTCATAACCATCCCAATATGGCGTTTGTTGAAGCGTTTGTCGCTAAGCTTCTGAGGGATTTTTCCTTGCGGTAGTCAGCGAGGAGGGTTTGGAAAGGGCATTCGAGACGAGTTTGAAGATTGTGAAGGAGTGTTTGGAGGGGTTTTCGAGCCCTGATTTTAGAGGGGATCATAAGGAGACGGAGGTAATACAGGGGTTGCATTTGCATACGGCAATGACTAATGGGAGGCATTTGTTGTGGTTGGTTGAGAGGATGATTGAGTTGAGGGTGGCAGATTCGGCAGTGAAGGAACGGAGTGAGCAGGCTGCATTTACAGCGGATTTGCTGAGAGCGTTTAGGGATGATGCTAGGAGGAATATTGTTCCGGAACTCCCTACTGTCCTGCTCCAGTATACTTGTAAGCCTGCCAATGCAGTTGCTGTTGGAACAATATTGGCTGCTATACAGGTATTGGTTTCTTGGAAGTTATTTGACTATATGAATATGCAGCTATTTATTGTACAATGTCTAATAAATTGGTAAAGATGATGTTGTGTTTTGTTGGTGGAATCTACTCGAGTTTGCTGGTACTTCTAATGGAGTGCTGGTGAGGGCTGCTTGTTAGGCATGCAAACGCGAATTATTTGTTAAGTTATGTGAACTAATAGCCATAGGAACAAGTTGATTTCAATTAAAAGTTATGATGGACAAATCAAGAAAATGAAGCAAGCATATTAGTTGTCTTGTCTAGGTGACAATGGAGTAGGGATTACCTATATGCTGTGTAAACGTATTGTTACTCAGTTCTTCTTTAGGCTCTGCGGTAAAAGTGATTCTGAAAGAAAGTTGATTATAAACCCCAAGAAATTTGGCTCTGTTCAATCAATTGCTGAGAGAAAGTTCATGTCTTCGGCTAATTAACATTTGACTCTTTGAAAATTTGTTTGGAATGCTAAGTACTTAAGTTAGGGTAATTGTTTCGTCCCAGGCCTTGATCACTTTTTTGGCCACCTGTTGATACATGTGATTTGCTTTTATAAAGTGAGGACCAGAAAATGTGGCCTGTCATCAGTCCTGTTTAAAAGAGCAAATGTATATGATGTGGTGTCTTTGGGTGATCTAACCATTTGACTGATATGCCTACTCAAGGTAGTTCATTAAATCAGTTGAGAATCACTCATTCTAGAATCCTGTACACAATGGTCACAACTGGGACCTTTAAAATTTTATCTGTCAAAAATCATTTAACTTAATGTACTTAAGATCTAGCAAGTGTACTAGAAAAATGAATTGTTTTGGTTCTCAGAGTTTAACAAATTCTTCTAAAGTCTAACTAAAACTTATCTTTTTAAAGCAAAAGTATGGTCTGAACATGTGTTGACTTCAGATTTGAATGATAAATTGCAGAGTACTCAAAGGTTGAGTTATTTGTTCTAATAAGGTTTGAGGGTAAAGCCTATAAAACATTCTGTAAAATTGCAGGTTAGAATGAAGCTTATCAAAGATTGGCTTCCTGTTCTGATTGTGTGCAAAGACAATGTATCACCCATGCTGCCCAGCCACAAAACACTGTATCTGGAATTGGAGGAGATATTCCTGAGAATTATCTCGACACTGCCAATGTCAGATGCACAAGTGTTGTTGCAGCAAGCCATGTGTCAGCTTCTCAAACAGAAATGTTAAAGATTGCCCCACTTAGTCATAGCTTTCAATACTTGGTTTCACAGGGTATTTGCATATGGACAAATGTTGGTGGGTGGATGCCTTGATCATGAAGGTTTAGTTTTCCCTGTTGACTTTTGTGCATATATCAAACTGATGCAGTGATGTGTAGAGTCAAACTGGCTATTTTGTACATAAAAGTACTGGATATTCTCCAAAGTTTCAACGTACGCGGCAGAATCAAAAACTGAATGCTTTTAATGCTGTTCCTTGAAGCTGTCCTGCACCTCTTGACCTCATCTTTAGTTTTAGTGAAAGCTTTTGTCTTTGACTCAATTATAACCGCATGTATCACTTTGCTCAAGAACAAAGTTTGAATTCATGTTGCTATTAGAATTTCCCTTTTTTTTTTTAAAGAAGAGAAAAGCATTTTCTTAAAAACTGTTTAGTCTATATTTCACGTGTGGAATTAAACCCTGAAGTCAAATGCTGGAAAATTCATTTTTATGAATATTTAATACATTAAAAACTTTTAAAATTAAATACGAATTAAATTCCAATGAAGATAAAATTATAATTTTTCTCGTAGTTGTAATAATTACGTTAATAGTAGAATCTATCTCATCTCAACAAGAAAACAATATTAAAAATAAGAATAATTGAGATTTATTGAAAAAAAATTTTAATACATCATAAACTATAGAAAATTACCAAAAATAAATAGGAAAGTTGTCATCCTATTCTTGAAACCAATCCGTACAACGCGAGAGCAGCAGCATGCGGTTACTTTGTCTTTGGTTGCATTCAAAAACCTTGAATTTCTTAAGCTTCATAAAACAGTGAAGGATAAGTAGATTTTCTGATCCTGCTTGATGGCTTAACCTAGCAACGCGATCGCATTTAAGGTTTTAACCACTTTCTACAAGCCACCCACCAAGCTGAAGAATCTAAAGGTGTGCTTGATATCATAAATCTTGTAATCAAATAAAGAAATCAATTGTTCTATGAAATATTTAAACTTAGGGGATAATAGCTGTTGGGTCAAAATCTTCATCAAAAACCCAAAATCATAAGTACCATAAAAAATGATCCAATTTATTCTTCCGAAATAATTAAACAATCCAAAATTTTAAATTATCATTAAAAAGTCTTTAGAATTAATATCATTTTTCTTATCCTTTGCAAAATCAATATCTTATTGCTTAAACAATTCAATTAACTGTTTAACATAACGATTTTTATTTATATCAAAATCTCTGAAATTAAACTCTCATATATAACAAAAAGGAATACCAAAATCTAACAAATTATCTCATGAATCAGCCAGGATTAAGCCAAGTTGAATAATTTTTAAGCAATCGACGTTCGATTTCATGAACTGGTAGTTGATAACAGGATTAGCCTCTTAAATGACTCATTTATAAGGCTTGAAAATCATATATGAAAATTCCGTATCCATGAAGAAAAAAGGGTACTCCATAATTGCACTCTGAATTATCACAAACTCACTTTCAAATTTTCTGCAAAACCTTGTTTAACAATCACATGTTTCTTGCCAGGCAACGCCATCTTTTTTTTTTTTTCTTTTCACGACTATAATGACTTTTGCCTTGGTAAAACTATTCAATCATATTTATGGATCGCGTAATCGTTCTTTTATTGTAACTAGGAAAGGGCTTTCTTGGCGTCGGCGTTGCAGCTAGTCGCGTGTACATAACTGGCAAATGTATTCTTGCGGCATCAACAGGAACTTGGCCAATGGCCAAAAGTTCGAAAAAGTTTCTAAATACATTCCATTTTTTTCCACTTTTCCTGTTTACATCCCTTTTTTTTTAAATTCTTTTATAAATAAAATTATTTAATTATACTTCTCACAATTATCCAGATAGGAATTTTTTATAAGTTATAAAATTTATCGAAAATTCATTTTTAAAAAGTTGAAAATTAAAGTTCTAAGAAAAATTACGAAAAAAAATTTATTAGAAAATTTATTAATTAGTTTAATAAAAAAATTATTATTGAAAAAAATCTTAAATTCAAGAAATTAATAAAAAAAAGTTAATTATATTATTTTGACTTTAAAAAATAAAATCTTTTTTTCAATAAATTAAGGTTAAAATAATAAATGTAATTTTTTTATAAATTTAAATATATTTTATTGGTATTGATTATTAAAATTTTATAATAATTTTAATTAAATTAAATTTTTTGGAGAATTCTCTCCTTCTACTTATCGTGATGAGTTTATAATATTTTTTAATAAAATTTTTTTTTAGTATCAATTATTAAAATTTTATAATAGTTTTAATTAAATTGAATTTTTTGATACATTTGCTTATCATAATAGGTTTTTCTAGTTAACATATAGGAATTTTGATAAAATTATATAGTATTTAGTAGTATTACTAATATAACTTTAAAGAATATCATCTCTCAAATGTTGATTAGATTTTATAATTTCTTTATCATCTTTCGTAATATCAAGAGATGAAATGTTTAATTAATATCTCATAAAATTTTATTATTGTTTTTAGGTTAAAATAATAAAATTAACTTATTTCTTATTAATTTTAAAATTTATTATTTTTTACACAATAATTTTTTATTACAACAATTAATAAAAAGTTTATAAGTTTAAAATGTTTAATTAATATCTCATAAAATTTTATTTTTCTTTAAGGTTAAAATAATAAAATTAACTTCTTTTTTATTAATTTTAAAATTTATTATTTTTTACATAATCTTTACTAAAATTCCATTTTTGTAAATTTCCTTAAAAAGTTTATAAGTTTTCTCCATGGAAATGAATTTTCGAAAAGTTTATTAAATATAGATATTCGAAAACTTCTTAAAAGGATAATTAAGTGATTTTATTTATAAAAAATTAATAAAAGGCAAAAAGTGGGATGTATTTAGAAGCTCTCAAGTTTAAACCCTACATTAACAATAAACTAGTAATTTCAAGGACCTGCAACTTGCAAAGATATTGGATCATAATCTGTATCTTCTCTTTTCACCAAAATCTTTATTGTTGCCGACATTCTCAAAGCAACGTTTGATATTTTTTATAAAATTATCATGATAATATAATTATCAAAATAATTTTATTACAAGAATAATCTTAACACTCAATGATTTAAAATTATTTTTTTTGATTAACAATTATTAATTTTTAAAAATTAAAGATTATTGGATTTGATATTATTAAAAATCAAATATTATTTTGTTTTAAAGTATGAAAATAATCGTGAATATTATAATAGTTATATAAATTAATAATTTTAAGATTGTTTCAAGATAAAAATTTGTAAAATATTAATAATGTTTATTTATTTTATAATAAAATATAATTAAATTAATAAATATATTTATTGATAAGTAAATTGATTTTTATAATGTGAATTATATTTAAAAATATATATGAATTAGAAAATAAAACCAATCAATTAAATCCATAATAAAAGAAAAAAAATTATATTACATGTAAAATATTAAAGAAAATTAAAAAATTACACAAATTATTTTTGAATTTATTATAATAAATATTGGTTTGAAAATACAAAAACTTACAATATAAGATAATTACAATTATAAGATGTAATAAGTTTTTACTTCACTTGAATAAAATTAACTATTATTAATTTTACATATTACATCATCTCAATGATAAAAAATTTTTACTTTTTTGTATGAAAATTTGATCACCTTTCAAGACAGTGATCTAATCACTTTAAGTGATTCAAGATCAGTACTATGTATGATCAATAAGTGTTTACCAAATATAATAATCTAATCACTATGATTTTTAGAGTAATCAGCCCCTACCAAACTCACAAGCTAACTATATGAAGAGGCTAAAATGTGACTGAATTCTCTTTCTTATGAAATCAAATGTAGGAAAGCTTCCTAATTCGAGCTAGCATACATAGTATAGAACAAGATTATCTACTTATTTAAAATTAATGGCAAGAAATGCTCAAATTCATGCCTTGTCTCAGTTAATCGAAAATTATGAGCTCCTACACAAAGGAAATATCTTAGAAACACCAATTAAGTTAGCCCATGGTAAAATATGGAGGACTTATTTAGCAAAAGGATGAGCAAGGGGAAAGTGTTGATTATAGTATTCGCCTTCTAAAGTTACGGGTAGTGCCTTGGTAGGTATGAACCAGCAAACCAACTCCTATCCCAATTCCAACACAGATCCCACACTCACACCAGCATTGAACCAAGTGAGCTCCCCATCTTCACCATCAAAATAGTACATCCCTGAATGCACATAACTGTACTCTTCTTCACTTTCTGATTTACGATTCAAGTAATCTGGTACTGCAAAATTGAGAAAGAAATGAAAAGCAGAACGATAATTCAAACAGACATGGTTTATGTATTGTATTCCCATAGTTTTCAAAATAATTAACCAAATTCAAATATATGGATACATCAATATGGTTGGCACTTGGCAAAGTCACTAGCTAAAAAACCCTTTATTATTTGATCTATGACCCAAAAGCTTCTTAGAAACGTTATTACATTTTTTTTTTAAGGTAAAGATTTCATCTTGCAAAAACATGCAGCAGTTCGACCTGTTTTAGAGAAAAGACATTGTGAAGTACCTTCTTGAGGAGAACAGTGGAGAGGGAAGAACAACAACTCCAATAGAGTTTTGTGGTTGGATTTGACCATCATACTAGCATCGATGCAATAAACTGGTATGTTAATGCAAAAAGCTCAAGCTAAGGAAACTACATTCTAAGTTATGGTATTAGGTTTCTAACAATTAACAGATCTTTTTGCCAAATTATTACTACTCAGGATGTTTGAGGTTCAGAAGGATACCTCGAAGAAACAAGACAATACACCAGGATGATTTACACCCAAAGTCCCAAACCATAGTAAACTGTAAACCGCATAACAGTTTTTCAATGAGATTGAACTCAACATGATATTCAACTCTTTCTCTAATCTTTCCAAGGCAAGTATCAGGTAAAATATTCCTATTTAAAAAAAAAAAGGTTCAGGTATGCATATGACTTTCACATAGGATTACTGATACGAATCAAAACATATATTAGTACTTACAACATAGGAAATGAGATAAATGCATGCAGCTCTACCAATATTCTAATAGGTCATGTTAACAATGCCCTACGTACCATAGACTGAGTATTACCTTTTGATGTAAAAGTATGTACCTATCAAAATATTCTGCTTATTTAAGACAAGATTGATTATTAGTTAGGAGTTTTATCAGACAATGAACAATTTAGGGTATAATCAGTAGTATTTGATAAATGGATAAGGATAACCATACCAGTTAAGTAGGGAAGGGGAAACCAGCCATATTTCTTATGAAGATTCAAATGTTAACAAATACCTGCAAGGGAGTAACTTCTTTCTGGCCTTCAGTTGCCTCATACTCTGGTATTGAATCCAGCATCCCCTTCTTCATTTGTTTCTTCCGTAAGCTAGGCTGCAAAGTTCTAGTTAATATAATTGGACTGCCCAAGAAAGACCCTGCAACATAGACCTCAACTGTGGGTGAAGCTGAATCTGGACTGAAAAATTGCTTGGCCTTCAGAAAGCTAGTGCCTGAACTTATAACTGATTCGCAATTCATGGTCCACTTCTGGCCACTTCCTCTTGACTTTTCAGTGTAACCATTACTGTCACACAACTCTAAAACCCCGGATAGCAGAAAGGTATCCTTATAAAAGACCTCGAACTTCACACTTCCTGTCAGCTTTATGCTCTCCGTGCTTACAAAAGTGGTTTCTTCAGATTTTTTATCTAGTCGATCCCTTCTAAGAATGGTGGATGCACCATCAGAATAGATGCCAGTCCTAACACCATTTACTTCAAGAAGTGTATCAGGATTCAATGGGACATGGTTTAAATTGAGGTATTTGGGGGTTGAATCATCAGTCTCACACTTGCTTATTCTGACATAGAAAACTCTTAGAACAAGCCAAGATAATGATCCCTTGGAGAATGGCTGGTAAGGAGAGTGCCTCATGACCGTGTGGCCATTACTAGTTGTCCATTTCCATTAGATGATTCATAAACTCTCTCCATAACTCCAGAGAACCTAGTATTCCTTGGTGAATCCCTTCCACCTTGTTTGAGTTGATGACTTGTTATAGTCCATACAAGAATCATTCGATCATAAAAAACAGCAGGAATGTGAAGGAGGTGAAACCAAAGGAATTTCATGCAATTTGTTCCAGACAATGAAAAGAGAGAGGGGTGGAGGTTAAATTTCCACTGAAGACTACTCAACTCTAAACCAGAAAATAAGAAGTTGAAAGAGGAAATAAGGAAAAATACCAAAACTATAACAAGGCAACTGAAGCTGAACTAAAGAAACAAAACCCCTCAAAAGGAAATAGAGCAGGGAGAGATGAAACTGAAGTAAAGAAATCAAACCCTCAGGACAGAGATCAAACAGAAGAGAGAACCTATTGATGAAATTCTGTTTATTTTCTGCAGCAATTGAACTGAGAAACAAAAAGCAATTCAAGCAGTGGCAGAGCCAATGAGGGCAACTACTACCAAACCAAAAGTAGAAGCAAAAAGTTAAGGAAGAAATAAGAAGATGGGTATACAGGAGAAAAATCCAAAGTTCCGAAGTGTTGAAGCCCAAAAAATATTGGTGGTAAAAGCAAAACGAAAACACAACAAACACAACCTTAAATTCCAATCCAAAATTTACACAGAATAAAAGGAAATCTAGAATCAAATTTAACCAGTGACTAAGATAATGAACATCAGAGTGGCATCAATGAAATCAGCTAAGCAATAGAAAAAAGAATCTATATTTGTCCTTTCATCCGTCTAGATTAGAGTTCAATGAAGATTAATTAAAACAAACAAATTGTCTTGCCAAACTCTTAAACGAATGATCATAGCAGAGAAAAAAACAAAAGCAACAACATCAATTCCCACAGATTTCAACTAACTTGCCGGTGATAGACAATTTTTCAGGCACGTCACCTAAACAGACAAAATAAGACCCTTCTGTATATCCCTCTCTCTTAATTGTATACAAAATTAATGCATCGATCAGGCATGTGTATGATCACCAGGAAAACATCAAAACAAACAAAGCCACAACCTTTTTTGAATCAAAACATTAACACAGAGAAAGACTTACCTCGAATAACTGACATCCTCAATCTTCCTTTGTGGCGTACGCTATCCAAAAGGAATTACTTCGAGTGGTCTTTCCCAATTTCCTTCTCCTCAAATAGAACAAAGCACAGCTCTTGATATTCTAAAGAGGCCAATCCTCACCAGGCAAAAATCACATTCTAAATAATTTTGTAGTAGTAAAATGCAAAACGAAGACCAACCCAAGTCCTTAAATTTTCTAAACAAAATTAATCAAATTACAATCAATGAAAACAAAGAACAACCCAAGGGCTGAAATTCAGTAAACAGCGCTGGTTCTTGTTGTTTTCTTTTCTTCTCCTTTTCCAATGTATGATAGGATTATAAGTGGGATCAAAGTGGACGATGCATTCTACAGATCTATCCTTAAAACAGAGAAATGATGGTTCACTAGCCACTTGTGTTGAAAAGGGTATCCAAGGCCAAGGCTTTTTCTCCCACTGGAAGGAAGTTTTGCCTAGAGTGAGATATTAGTAGGCCTAAGTATGCAACTACTTTATTAATGATATTGTTGTTTCTGTTCACAGCTTTGTTGAAGATATTTTCTTTTAGCTCGCTTTTTCCTCTTGAATTTTTTAATCTTTATTTGCTTTTGATAAGCATATAAATATTTGTTAGTTTAGGGAACAAGTGTGATTGAGATTGAATTGTTTTTCTTTTCTCGACTCCCCATTTTCTTTCTTTATCTTTGACGTGTTCGGGACTTAAATACCAAGGACGGCTTTTCTTGTATCTGATACAACGAGTCCCCTGGATGTATTTCCCTGGATTTTTGTCATTGTTACAAAATGTAGAGCAACAATTTGGTTCTTCCTTTCCTTCAAGGGAAATTTTCCGCCTGTAGAAAGTTGAAACTTGAAACAAACAACATGATAATCACTTTTCTCTTGCTAGTGATATAAAAACGTACCGAATATTGATTCATTTTAAGCCTTTTCATTTGTTATATATACAGAAAATGGATGCCATCCACAGTTTTTATGCCTAGTTTCTTGTTTCATAGATTATCATTGATTCGGATCCGGGGTTATGGGGAGGGTCAAAAGGCAAGAAAATAGCTAGGTCTTTATCATCATTTTCTAGTATAGGACAGATATATAAATCTTGATTCCTAACATTTCCACGTGAAAATCACATGGACCAACACAGTTTCAGAGACACTCATTTGATTTCTCGAAAACACAAGGGCGAGCTCCATTTCTCTATACGCATTCCACTAAACAGAGCTACTAGATTTTGGTTATTCCACACTGAAATTAAGGGTGACAAATCGGATTTAAAGAATTTACAGTCAAAACAGAGGCACTAGTCTAAAGCAGTTGCTTCAATATTTGTTTTTTGTTTCGGATAAATCAGTTGCTTCAATATTTTATTGTCCTCGCAAGCCACACCTTTTAGCTGTCAGCTTTGGCCTCCTTATTATAAAGGTTAGCCTTTATCTCTATCAAATTCGCATATAATTTAGCTGGCTAGTCTTTTTCTTTCTGGATATATAATACTAATCTGTTACGTTAGTTTAGGGTCTGCAGCCAAACTTTGGAATCCCCAAACCCATAAAGTCAACGCTTTGGCCCAACAAAAGGAAAGAATAAGTCAACCCCAGTCCCACACCAATCATTTTCCCATAGCAGTTAGCGTAGTTGATTCTCGAGCTCTTTTAGAGGTAGTCATCAGGATTCAGTTTGAGTGAAAATTGATATAAAAGCATTTCCTATCATAAAGCAATGAACACCATTTGTTCATTTAATATGATCATTGGAAATCAATAACTCCACCAACATAGAATTTTAAGGGGTAATTAAAACAAGCATAAAAACTGACGCAATAACCCAAAAGCCAACAGACATACTGGTTTTCCCTTCATGGAAAACGCCACTACGAACACGAGTAAAAGCGGCTGACAACCCCAGTTCTCAGAGAACTGTGACACAAAATAGAAGGAAAAAAGGCACAAGCAACGGTATGCAGTACTTTTGCAGGTCTGCGTGAAGCCTCCAAATTTCCCAAAGCCAAAGAACAATTTTAGATGTGATGTGCAGGCTTGGAAACAAGAGCAAAGAGAAGGAAAAGGGATCAAGGTTTGGAATGACTGAAGCCATTACTCTGTCACCGAGGAACTGCAAAGTCTAGGGCATGACAATAAAGAAATATAGAAGATAATCAGTAGAAGGAAAAGTTCGATCAAAGGAATTATGAAAATTTTCCTGATTAGAACAAAAAGTATGAAACAAGTTGAGGGAGAAAAGCATGTTAGAAAAGAAGGTGGCATATAAGGAGATGAAGTTGACAGCAAGGATACATCACATAACATTCTAAGTTGGACACAAGACAGGTCTAAGAACATAACTTTGTAAATGATTCGAGACCGATGAGCATCACTATATATAAGGATTTTGCTCGGGACAGTGATTCCTCAAAAGCATAAAAAAGGCCTAAATCAGATCCATCACACAGGAACAACAAAAAAACCACATCATGTTAAAAAGGTTTGAATTCCCAAGCAACAGTAAGTGACCCATCATTCAAACCCTCAAAAAGAAGCTTGAAACAAATTGAAAAGGAAAAACCCAACAGAGCCAAAAAAAAAAAAAAAAAGAAAGCCAGCTAATCATTTGCTAGGACATTTTGATTTTGGAGCTAAAAAAGATTCACTTGTCCAGAAATCATACACAGCTAAGTTCAACTCTTGTAAATAAGTGAAAAGACAAATAACAAATCAGCAGGCACTGCAGAATTTCAGAATACAAAAACAAAAACTTGAACAATTTGCTTTCCTTTGACATAGATTTGTAAAAAAAGATCCTATGCTTTTATTGTCTCACAAAGGATCCACCTTTGTCACAATGGTGTTGCAAGTCCTATTTCATATAGTAGAAAAAGCAAGTTAGAACATGTATGTTTTACATAAAACAAGAGGCAACTACAAGCTCAGAAGGTGAATAGGATTACTACTAATTAGTATATTTCCATGTATAATTCCTCATAACAGTTAAAACTAAAGAGCAACACAAATCATTTCTATCCAAAATTTCCACTTCAGATTCTCGAAAAACGTCCAAAGGGCACTTAGGGAAGTAAAACTGACAATTAAAGCTTAAGAAAAAGAAAGCAATTCGCCAAGCATTGTTATTGTCGTCGCTTTTTCCACATTCTTTTTCCAACCAAGTGGTCAAAATGGAGCTTTAATTTTTTGCATTCTTAAAACAGATAAAATTGAAACAAAAAAAAAAAAAAACCAACAAAATAAAAAGGAAAAAGAAAAGACCTTGAGAGAGCCAGCTCCAACAGGAGGAATCGACGGCGATGCTTGATTGTAGCCGAGCGGATGCAATGGCACTATGAAGTGGTATCATCGACTCTACTCCTCCCAACACCGAAACAATCCTTTAAAATAAAATAAATTTTAAGAATTTGACACTAAATTTAGATGTAAAAACCAAAAAGAAAGTACCTTGAAGCGCAAGGGAGAGCTCTTGTTGATGGAGAAGAGAAAGGAGACGATATGGGTTTTGGGGTCAGGCTCTTTAAATTTAGGGTTTTGGATCGAGAAGCGAGGGACCTAGAACCCACCATTATTGCTGATCTGCAAAACGACGCCATTTCTTCTCTCTGGTTTTGAAGGTGAAGCCGTAGGTTGAGGAAATAGGAGGCTGGGCTGGCTCGCTCCTTAAACCCTAAATTTTGGATCAGAGATTTAAGATCTTGGACTACAAAATGGTGTCGTTTCAAACATAACTAAAACGACACCGTCAAGTTAAAGTGTTCTGATCGGGCTGGGTCAGTTGGGCAATTCCCTTCCTGTAGCCCACATTCAGAAAGTCCTCATGCCTCAACTAGTGTATTAGGCTGGCATTTGCATGATCCAAAACGGCGTCGTTTTTCTCTTAAACGAACCGCTCGGTCATCATCAACAAAAATGATCTGACAATCCCCAATTAATCGGGAGGCTTTACAGCTCCGATCGCCGAAGTTCTAATCGTCTTCATCCGGCAGATTACTACCACCAACGAACAAAATCAATGGCTGCGATCTTCGCTCGTAACTCTCTCAATGCTCTCCGATCTCGACACCTCGTAAGAACTTAATTCGCTCATCCTCCTCCAAACGGACCAAACCTAAACATTTTTTTGTGGACATTTTCTTTACAAGCGTGCATTAGTTTCATTAAATTTCATGAAATTGGCAATAAAACTTTCAGTAGAACCTGTTGATAGACGGTCAAAATTCAAATGTTAATTTCTGGCATTTGCTAATGTAATTTGGAAATGTACCATAGAAAAGGGCAAATCTTTATAGCTAGATTTAAGGTAAATACTTTAATAATATTGTTTATAAACAAAAGGGTTTTTAGTTCAATTTTCTTTTGTTAGGATTTGTTATTTTTTCCATGGTTGAGTTGCTTTTTTTATTTTATTTTATTTTGTTTATGTATGGATAGGCTGTCTCAGGGCAAGTGTTGCAGGGTTCACAGCACTACGGGTTGCGACTCAGTGCACACTTATATAGCACCAAGAAAGGTAGCGTTTATTTCTCTGTCTTCTCATATTTATCTAAATCTCAAAATTTACATGTTTAGAAGTCATAGTTTGAGTTTTGAAAAGAGTGTGGAAAGGGCTATCTGGATTCATTAGTATACTAGATATCCTTCTAGAAAAGGCATGTAACAGACTTTAATCGTGTAACTATGGATCCCCTTGTTTGATTGGACTTCTTTTTTTGCAAGGCTGCAAATTTTTAGTTGATACTATGTATCTCTGGTTCATGGATGTTTCATGTGTATAACTGTAGATGATGAAGAAAGAGAGCAGCTTGCAAAGGAGATTTCAAAAGACTGGAGCTCTGGTAATGTAGTGCGTTAAAATATTTCTGTTTCCCTTACTTGTTACATCACTTTTCTTTTAGGCAATGATTGATTTCTTGTATTCTGCTCAATTGCAGTTTTTGAGCGAAGCATAAACACATTGTTTCTAACTGAAATGGTTCGGGGTCTCATGCTGACGCTTAAGTACTTTTTTGACAGAAAAGTTACTGTAAGTGTCTTCCTGATCCTTTTCTTTGAGCTTAGATTGGAGCAGATATATGATACAAACTTGTCTTTCCTTATGCAGATTAACTATCCATTTGAGAAGGGTCCATTGAGCCCTCGTTTTCGAGGGGAGCATGCTCTCCGCCGATAACCAACCGGAGAGGAACGTTGCATTGCTTGTAAACTTTGTGAAGCTGTAAGTTGAAGCTTCATCTTAAAAATGACCCCATTATCTAAATTACGTTTCTATTGGGTGGGAATGATATCAGCATGCAGTGATTCAATATTGGACAACAATTATCCACCTGGGTAGAAACTATCCCCTGCCCTCTGATATGAACACCTTAGTGGAAATGCAAGTGCCTGGGGGCGCTGCCTTTGAGTCTGTATGATGTTGTTTTAGGTTGGCATACCTGACACCTGAATGGATATCATGGTCAGTTCATTGATTCTTCTTTTAATATGCATCTAACTTGGTTTACAATATTTGTGGTGTATATTGTCTCTATTACACCCTGTGGTTATAGAAAGGGAGTTTAGTGTCTGTCATTGCTAGTCTTCAGAGCCCGCAATCTGTGAAAAGTTGGACCCAGTCAAACTAAGCTCCTTTCATCTTTATTAAATATGGATTTACTATCGTGATATAGTTCTCATGAAGTATTGGTGGCTTATCTGATATGCCCAGCACAGGCAATCACAATAGAGGCTGAGGAACGAGAGGATGGAAGTCGTCGGACAACAAGGTTGATTCTCTCTATCTTCTTGTTTTTCTTCTGTTATTGTTATCATCTTTGTCTTACACGAATTCAACTTTGCAGGTATGACATTGACATGACAAAGTGTATCTACTGTGGACTTTCCCAAGAGGCATGTCCTGTTGATGCAATTGTTGAAGGACCCAACTTTGAATTTGCCACCGAGACTCATGAGGTTCATCTTTCTTTCAATTAAATTATAAATGGCTACCTTCGCTTGCTAGTTAAAGTGAATTAGATATCAGCATTGTTATTGCAGGAGCTGCTGTATGACAAAGAGAAGCTGCTTGAGAATGGTGACCGATGGGAAACTGAGATTGCGGAGAATCTCAGATCTGAAAGCCTTTATCGCTGATATTGCCCCTCCATTTCCTTCTTGCTTGGAACAGCAACTGCTGCTTTCTTTGTTTCTTAAAAGGAAAATAAAAATAGATGCATGGTCTTGCATATACTAGCATGCATTTTGGGCATTATGTCTTTGTCAATGTATCCTGATGAATTATTTTGTTTTTGCTAAATTTGAAGGCAATGGTGGATAAAAGATTCCTCTGTTCAGTGAACACTTTTTCAATTTGTAAAACTTTGCCCAAATGAGAAGCAGCAAGATTTTTGTGATTTTTTTTTAATTATATCAATTAAAACCCAAATTGGGGGTTAAAAATTAAAATGCATGTAAAAATATGTTCAGGGAACAGATAAATATTTTTAAAATTTAAAAGCATGGGTTGAAATTCTAGTTTTCATAAATAATAGGCTTATCGATGCAATTGTAAAACAGCCCCGTTAGAAACCCAATTGCAAAGAGAGAGAGCCCAAAGTGGAGGACCCCGGCCACAAGCCACTGCTATTGGCGTTGGACAAGAGGTAATTTTGCCCGAAAAATGTTTGATCGTCGACGCAACGCAATCCAATTCACTCAGCTTGAGGGGTGGGGCCTTTTAGATTTGAACAGGAAGTTCAAATCGCACTGAGGAAAGTTGAAACACAGCAGCAATGGCGGAGGAACCAATACTAGGTTACTTGGCGACCCACGAAGAGATCCCTGATTCAGGACAGTTCGCATCCCAACATGGTCTCCAGCACAACGACGTCGTTAATGTCATCAAGAGTCTCCACGGTTTCCGTTACATCGATGCTCAGGACATTTGAAGGGAGAGTTGGGTACTCATGGACGAGGGTCAAAAGTGTGCTGCTGAAGGATCCCCCGAAGCTCAAGTCTTCTTAGCTATTCCTCCTGAAGGTTCCATTTCTAAAGGTGAACTACAGGCCAGTATTCTCCTTTTTTAATCCCTAAAATTTTTATTGGGATCTGTGTTTAAAATTTTTTTCTTTAATATATTTTGTGCTTTGGTACAGAAAAAGCTAGACCCTTCAGTTTCAAAATTGGCTGCTCACAAGCTGGTAAAAACAAATGGGTCGACATGGGAAAGCAAGTTTCAAGAAAGGTAATAATATTTACGGTTAATGTTTATGAATGCTCATATTTTACGTGATTATGTCATTTATCCCTCCAGTTTTTGGTTTGGTATAGGTTCAACATGTGGAAGACAAGGTCAAGGATTTGCTTATTAGAATACAAAATGGAGAGGTATTTCACCATTATTAATGAGTTGCCTGTCTTTGGTTTTGCATTGGGTCAGTCTATCAAAAGTTTTCTAATTGAATTGAGGCGTATGGTTTTAATTTTGCTTCTTCGTTTCAATTTACTGATTGACGTTGATTTTTACTCCAGGCAATTGGCAAAGGTGATATTAACTCACTTAAAGCAAGGAAGCTTATTGTTGCACAGTGATCATTGAGTCCCTTGCCTGAGCTTTTATCAATTTTCTTTCAGTATATGTATATTTTTATTCATATTGCTGATACTTTGTCAATTACATCTTGTTTTAGGACATGGAAGGGCTACACGGTGAGAAAAGGGCCTAACTATGCCCCTAAAAGAAAGAAAGTTGCTACCAATTTGACGTGAGAGAATCTACAGAGGTATGCCATAGATTTGATAAATATGCCTTTGAAGTTAGAATTGTGGTAATGAAGTTGAAATGACTTATTTTTGTCTTCTTAGTTAACCATTGTGCTTTGTTCCAGAGGGATTTTATTAGACTGATATCTATACATGGTTACTGTCTTTTTAGGGGTGACTGGAAGGAATTAGAGTTCAAAGAGTATAACTTCAATGCTAAAGGACCACCTGCTGAAGCTGGCCATCTTCACCCATTGCTCAAAGCAAGGATAGGACCATATATTTATCAACTTCATTTAGCTTTCAACAAATGTGTAACCATTAAACATACAAATGAGGATATCAGCCTTTTAAATATACGTTTTAATTTATGAACATTGTAGTTTTAATATGCAACTAAATAATTGTTAAAGGTTGATAATTCCTTGCTGGCATAAAAATGAATAGAAGAAAAGTTGTCATGAGAGGGAATAATTTTTGTGAAGATATATAAATTGGGCCTTTCTTTTTGGTCTGAAAAAGACATTATGATCATTCTTCGTGGCACCTATATTTGAATGTGTGAAAACGATATATTATGCACAATATGATGCCAATAATTCTCTTAGGAAGTTGTTTCACCATGCCCTTTTGGTTGATTGATGCCTTGACTTTTGTTTGCTTAAGCATTTGATTGTTTATATGGAGCTAAAATTTTTGGGCCTCATTTTATATTCTGGTGAAACAACAATTGAAGAACATATTTCTTCAGATGGGGTTAGTTTTGAGCTTTGATATAAATCTTATACATATATTCAGATTGTACATGCTTGTTTTATACTTTATCTTACATGGTGACAGTGGTGCGGTATGAGAACCACAGATAAATATCAACTCATAGTCCATATACGACACCTTCTGCCTTACCTCGACTTTTATTATTTTTTTGTGATACTAAAAACATGTTACTTGGCATCACCACAAATTATGGCATGTTATTATAATGCTCTTTTCTTTAGTATCAAGTTCATTTACAGATTTTTCTCTCTGCAAGTTTGAGATGATTGTTTTTGCAGCATTTGTTAAAACTTTTATATATTTTTTCATTTTGTGCTGACTGCAGTTTTGAGGAGATGCCAACAAACAATTTCGTTGAAAGCAGGTAGTTGACATAGCCAGCTCTTTCTGTGATAGTTGATTGCAAGTGGAGCTTCTTTGAGAAAGCAACATATACTTGTTAGGAAAACTGAGAAAGGAACATATGCATGCCTCCAGTTTTCTTAATTCAAGGGTGCCTTCAAGCATTCTGAAGATAATGTTTTTAGAAAAGTGGTTGGAAGGAACCCGAAATCCTATGTTTACATTCTCATTAAATCTTTTCCTTCATATCTGACAAGAATAAATTTTTTTCTAAAGTTGCTAACCTATATTTGTTTTAACTTGTAGCTTTTGGAACTTTGATGCATTGTTCCATCCACAACAACACCCTGCACGTGATTCACATGATACATTCCTTCTGGAAGGTATGCTTCAATTGACTGAATGGCCAACACATGCCTTTTCTACTCTCCTTTTGATGCTTATTTGGAGCATTCATCTGCAGTTCCATCCACTACATGGGAACTGCCTGAAGATTATGTTGAGTTGGTGAAGCATGTTCATGAGTCTGGTGGTTATGGCTCCAGGGGGTATGACGTTTTTTTTTTTTTTATGTTTTTCTTGCTTCCATATTTCACAACCATGAAATTGATTTATTTATTCATTTTCCCAAAGATATATGTATGACTGGAAAAGAGAGGAAGCAAACAAAAATCTGCTGCGAACTCATACAACTGCTGTCTCTACTAGAATGCTTTATGCTCTAGCAAAGGTTTGATTGTCTTCATACACTTTATCTATCTCTCTGGTTAGATGTAATGTAACCACCTTCAATTGATTGTTTTCCTAAATTCTTTTTTTTTTTTTTTGGCCAAACGTTTTTCCTAAATTCAAAAGCCCTCGTTTTCTTAAGCTTTTCTCATAAACTTGTAGTTTGGATTTCTAAACTAGTGTATACTGCTTTAATGCTTATGCACTCATACATCCCTAGGAGCATCATACTGCCATTATAATTATGTGCACTGCACCATAATGCTGATTGCAAGTATAATCCATCAATGATCAGGATCTCTGTTATATGTTAAATTTGACTTTCCATCTGGAAAAAAGGATAGCTGTATTTAAATATTTTATGCTGTCTTAATAGTTAGTTGTCGTTGATGTTGGTTGCATCATTATTTTTTAGTATCTGTGAATCTTAATATACAGTAGCTTTATGATTTCATCTTCAGCAACCTTTTGCCCCCAAAAGATATTTCTCTATAGATTGTGTGTTCAGAAATGAATCTGTGGACCGAACTCATCTTGCAGAGTTCCATCACATTGAAGTTATTTATAAGCTGCATGCATCTGCACTGGTTTTGTCATCTTTAGTCAAGTCCAAGTTCTGATTATGTTAACTGGATCCAAGCTGTGGACCAAGCTCTATTGCACTATTTTTGTTATCTCAAATAGCTGATTAATGTTTTTATTTGGAATGCATTTAATGATTCGCTGACCATCTGGAAATTATCTCTTTGGATTTAGGTTTAGTACGTAAGCGGGGTCTTAGTCTTGGTGACTTAATTGGTGTTCTGAATGACTGCTTCTCATGACTAGGTAATGATCATCTATCATCATTCTACTGGAGATAGAGTTCCATAGCAGCCTTTTTTAATAAATTGGACAAATAGTTTAGTTTTTTATGGTTCAATATATTGAAGAGTGTAGTGTTTCTGGATAAGTTTTGTCATGTAAACAGTTGGTTTATCTGTCTGCTGTTATGCTACTGATCATCATGAAATTGATGCCACGGGAACTGCCTTAGGAATTTGTAGTGATGTTGGAAATGTGAGTAATGTAATTTATGTTAATTTTTTTATATGATCTCTTTCAGGAATGTCAAAGATGCGTTTCAAGCCTGCTTGCAACCCATATACTGAACCTAGCATGGAGATATTCAGGTGATAAGTCACATGCTTCTCTTAATTGGTTTGTTACTTGCTAGGTAAATATAAGATTTGATAGATCATTTTTGTTTTAATCAGTTATTATAAAGGCTTGAAGAAATGGATGGAAATTGGGAATTCTGGTATGTTCAGACCTGAAATGTTGCTTCCAGGGAACTTAACAAGCATGTTACTAATGGCATCATCTGGAACGCCTAGGTCCCGGAAAAATTGTACCTGAAAAGATGAAACCCAAATCAGTGTCAACATCTCACATTATACAGCATGACATCATAACCATTCAATATAAGAGATTTCTAGTTCATAATATATAAGCTGAAGCATTATCTTCATGACATATATCCTATCATCCAAATGTACATATTAGAGATGGAGAGGAAAAACAAAATAAGAAAAATTTGAAGTATAGGATCATAAATGGAAAATATAAATGAAACATGAAATACATTGTTAGCTAAATAAGATCACATTTAGGAAGAAAACTGAAGCACGTAACCAATTCAAGACAACAATGACTAACTTGGGTGCAATTGTTGTGTCCAAATTAAAACAGAAAATCATTGGCTTAATGGTAAGCATTCTCCTCATTCCATCTTGGGAAAGTCCAAGGTAATATAGTTTCTTAACCAGAGGCTTCCATCTTTCTTCATTGCTACAACCCATCAACTGTAGCCCGAATGCTAGTGATTTCCCGACATATACTGTACTGGCCAAACTCTTTCGGACAATTAACCCGTATGAACATCGGGAGCATATAACTTAATGATTAAATAGCCTGGATATAATTACTTTAACGGAACTTGCTACAAAGCAAGACTCCTTGGTATTGTGATCAAAGTTCCATGTAGATTAAATTATTTAAGTGAATAAAGGATCTAGAATGTTAAGAGGAGCAAGCAAACTAGTCAGCTTCATCTCTGCAAGAGTGAAATAGACAAATACTCCAGGATAATCAAATACCATTGTCCCAAAATCATTTTCTTCATACCCATATTCAAGTAAAACTCCACACGCATTTTCACTTCCTCCATGCTATGGGATAACAACCTTGGACATCGGCTAATAACAAAACCCATCCAATCCCTCTTAACTCCATTACTCTCCAAATACTCAAAAATCTGATCCAATTCTTCAATTCTACGTTGCAAAATATCAAGTCCAGATTTCAAAAGCGTAACACCTAGAAATTCTCCTTTCACATGAACTGTCTTCAACCACTCAACAAGCCGTCTTACAGACTCAAGATTCCCTTTAGACATGCATATCAGCTTTGCAATTTTAGGATATGAGAGGTTAGTGTGGTTCAACCACCTATACAATTAAGTAATCACAATCAATATGACGAAGACATACCATAGACATACCAAAAAGCATTATCTTTTCATATCCAAAGACATTTTTGCATTTTGACTTTACCCTGAAGCAAAAACCAAGTAAAAAAAGCAATGCCTTACCATATAACACGAACAACATTGGAGTCATCAATAACATACTTAGCACGTGCATTAAACGTAGAATCCTCAAACTCAGGCAACGTTTTCAAGAGAGCTGCTTCGATCATCGCGTAATCAATAAATTCTAACAACCTATTAACCAAATTCGTCGATTAAGTAATTCCAAATTTTCCCTTCCTCATTGCCCCATTAAAAACCTCCGGCATTACCTTTCTAATCTCAAGCGCCCGCATAACCAAATAGATAATATGACTGTGGGTTTCTACTTTTTTTTTCATTTGAAATATTTGTAATTGTTGACAGCCGAGGTTCCATGGTCTAGTGGTCAGGACATTGGACTCTGAATCCAGTAACCCGAGTTCAAATCTCGGTGGAACCTTTTGTTTCTTAAAAAAAAAAAAAAGCATGTGTTCTTTTCTGAAGTCAACATTAATCATTTTAGAAGCATCTGGTGATAGGGAATCGTTATCTTTTTGTTTCAGGCTTGTCATTGTTTGGGATGGATATTTCGATGGCATTATATGTTTGTCTGTATCGATATTATTTCTTCTCTTTTTGCCTTTTTATTAAATACAGAGTTTATTCATACTGTACTTTTTTCACCAAACTGACACGGAATTTTGATCTGACCAAATGGAAAGGAAGAGAACAAAGACTACACTCTATGAAAGAGACACCGTATACGAGAAACAGAATTCATTTACTCAAGAAAATAATTGAGCCTTCTTTTTTTGACCAAACAGTACGACTCTTTCCCAATTAGTATATTTCCACAGAAATACCAAGAAAAAAATTAGCGTAATTTCTTTTCTCTCTTGATTTTCTGTCTCTTTCTGAACAACTGAAAATCTGATCTGAATGAAGGAATCCTGGAAAATTACCATATACATTGCACAAAAGGACCACAAACAAAAGATCAATTACAGATCAAATTGTGGCTTGTTTTAAAATGAAAACAAGCTGTCAAACAAATATGAACCATAACGGTCAATGGCACCCCTTTTTCTGCCCAACTTTTATCAATCCTGATCCATACACAAACTAAAACTGTTGTCCATTGGACTCTGACTTCACAAAACTTAGTTGTCAATGAACATCTAAAGAAATGTGCATCTCGAAGCCTCCCATTCGATACAAATATCACCTTGAAACCCAGTTTACTTCCAAAAATAAGAAGAGTTTCATCAGGTGCCAGCCAGCAGGCACTCAAATAGGAAGCCCGCTGTCTTATTAAGAAAGAATTGAGAACAAATTAACCTCTCTGCTAGTCACGATCCGGTCTTTCTATATCTTGGGCTTCGGGTGGCTCTGGGAATATCTCCTTAGAATGCCGTCTATGTGAGGATGAATGGTCACCTCCACCATTCGGGGCACTGCCCTGTGAACCCGTTGTTCCTGAATGTTTGAAACTACTTCCCCCTTCAGCTCTAGTGGTGGAGGCTGGTGGAATAACTGTTACATCCGAAGCGCTTTGACGCCAGCTACCAAAAAGAGCAGCATTCCAAGATCCTCTTGAGGAGGTTGCTCTAAGCCTTGCTGAGCTTGAAGTATCTTCTCTAACCACCCTCAAAGGATTTTCCAAAGCTTTGAGAATATATCTCATTAGGGGTCGCCTAGAAGGTTTTGGATTCAGACAAGACCTGGCAACAATGGCCATGGCCCAGACTTCCTCCAATAGATCCTCATCCACAAGAAGAGATGGATCCAAAATTTTTGTCACAAGTTCCTTATCATATATAGTGATATACGGTAGTGTCTGTTCTAACCATTCCTTCATCTGGGTATCACTGGATGCACTGATGTCCAGCTTACCTGTTACCAACCCAAGTAAAACCTTGCCAAAGCAGTAAACATCGTAGGCACATAATGCTGTAGATGAACCTGGCCATTTTGCAAATAAAAAAGCAATTTCAGAAAAAGCCTTCGGATTTGATGAAAATTTTAATGTCAATTCTACGCTATCAAGCCTCCCTCATGTTTCAAAATCCCCCTGGGAGGTAAGGTCAGGCAAATTTAAGAAGACTCTGGCAACATTTTGTCTGTCCTAGAATGAGTGATTATTTATTTATCTGGTAAGTCTAAATAAGTAGGCATATCACAGCAACAAGCCGCCAGTCTCCTAAAGGGAAGGGGGGGAAGAAAAGTTGAATTTTCAGGTACAATGCTATCCAAATGTGAAACTTGAATGAAAATGGTTGCTAATTAGTCAAATGGCAGAACGCATGCAAACATATAAGAGATGCAACATACATGTTGGACCTAAAGTGCAAAGTACGTTAATGAACAGCTAGTTGATAACAATTGAGATCTAAAATAAGTGTGAAATTTTATGAATAAAATGTGCACATACCTGAAGAACCTTGTTCAGATGACCTGCATGCAACAAAGAAAAAACTGTATGACAACCTTTATCAAGTAAAACAAGCATAAAAAGCATGAAATTAGACTTGGTACATTTTTTTTTGAAACGGCAATAAAATCCAAAAGGAGAAAATGGAGAGGCAGAAATAAAATACGCTACTTGGTAATTACTACTCAGTTTACAACGAATGTTGATGCATATGGGCATGCATTGCTCCAGGTTTGAAACATCTAAAGTATATCAATATATTCTAGATCCCATAGCAAAATATAACAATTTTATTTAACATATAAATTGCCAGCTCTCTACTGCATCAGGCATTAAAACCAGATCTTGGGCTCATCCCTTCAGGTCAAGGAAACATGTTTGTGTCCAGGAAAAATATGCACAACGCTAAAATGAAGCAAAGCACTGCACTGGGCACATAAGAATTATAGGCAGGCTTAATTGCGCGAAAGTTCAGACTTCATAATACCATGTTCTACCAGTTTGTTGTTTGTAGCCAAAACATAGAACAACATAGAAGTACCACTCTGTTCAATTAGATTCTCCATCCAAAAATATATACATTAAATTCTCAGCTTCATTCTGGTGAAAGGAAGGTTGATTTTATAACAAAACCTAAGCAAAATCTTTTATATATCCAGAACTCATGACAGCTAAAGGAAGCAATACTGCAAAAATTCAGTGCAATCCACAACTAAGTGAAGGAAACCCATGAAAACAATCAATAAATATTTGCATTAAAAAGGCAGCTGGCAACACTTTTCTGCAACTTAAACTACAAAATATAAGCATGTCAAACCACCATCCTCGGGAAGACTAACAAATATTAAAAATTCAAATGTATTCGGCAACTTACTAAAAAGTGAGATAACACAATCAATATGCTAGAATATGTTCAACAAACATCTTATGCAAGCTAAAACATACATCTATGTATAGTTCACAATCTGAAAACATCTGATCAGAGACAATTCTACAGAATACTCACTGTGGCAACCGCAGTAATCTTGTAATTCTATTTTGATGACCATCGCCTTCTTGAGCGCAGACCTCACTCAGGCTCCCTAGTCGCACTTCAAATTTATCATCAAGAAGTATACTGCTAGCTTGAACATCTCTACAACAATAAAAGAGAACATGTCACTGCCAGTTTTTGTAGCGCCTACAGAAGCTAATCAACAAATATCTATTGCACAGCCAAATGAAATAAAGATATATTTGATGCAGCCAAAGCATTTGCTTTATAGAATTAACCCATTGTTGATGCAAGCAGATTTATCAAAACACGACCATACAAAGAAAAGGCGACATACTTTAGTGATAGGCTACCAAAAGAAAAAGGGAAAAAGAAAACAGATTATTGTAACAAAATCCTCATCATATGATAATTTGCCTACATAAAGGACTACCATTCCTGCGATATTGCTAAACCCTGAAGTTTTTTCTGTAAGTTTCTCTGTATTCCAGTTTACAAGAAGGTTTGATATGCATAAGAAAAGAACCATGCAACTGAAGGAAGTTTAAGCATAAGAAACAGAAAACTGCAAAAATACCTGTGGACAAGGGGTGGTGTGCATTCATGGTGCAGATAAGATAGGCCTTCTGCAGCTCCTATAGCAATTTTCAATCTTGTTATCCAATCTAATGACTGTAAACTATCATCTTCCAAATTGTTTTTCCTATACAAGGAACTTGACAGGTCCCCATTCGGCATATATTTATAAACTAAGAATTTTTCATTCTCTTTCTCTAAGCAGTGTCCCAATAGGGGAACTACTCGTGGATGTGAAACTTTACTAAAGAAATCCAATTCCAAAAGATAAGCTTCCTTTTTAATTGACTGCAAATCAATCCTTTTGATGACAACAGGAAGCCCACCTTCTAAGATGCCCCTGAAGAGATCACCGGAATGACCATGCTTGATGAGGTTTGCATCACCAAAATCACCAGTGGCTTGAAGAAGTTGCTGATATGTAAATAAATCACCTAGATTCGAAAAATTAATATCTACTCCCAGCGAAGGAGGTGTTTCTCTAGCAGGAACTGGTCCGACACCAATCTCTCTATGATTTGCAGTGCTCCGTCTACGAACACATAGGACCAGCAATAGCAACAACATTAATAGCACAATTAACCCAGCTCCTCCCAAAACTGTAGCCAATATAATTGTCCTTCTGTTGCTCTTCCCAGTTTCAGGGGCAGAAGGTTCTGTGGAATTTGGGCGCCCAAAATCATCAAAACTCAGGCCCCTCTCAGCATAGAATGATACACACTCCGTCAAAGTCCTCTGGTTTGACACATTTTGGAGACAGTTAGTACTAAGAGATGCATTGTCATGCACATAGTCTGGAACCCTGCCTTCAAAATAGTTTCCTGACACATCAATAGAACTAAACCTTCCAAGTACAGTTGTGAGACCTCCATAAAACTTGTTATGGGAAATATCGAGTACTGCAGCAGTGGCATTATAATTCAAAGCAGAATTAGGCAGCTCCCCTGTGAAATTATTGTGAGAGATATCAAGCAGATTCAACCCAGGTATTGACCATAATACTACAGGAAGGTCACCAATGAAACTGTTGTTTCTCAGAACTATAACCTGCAACTGACTTGGAGCAGGGAACAAATTGGCTGGCAGAGACCCACCTAGACCATTGTTCCCAAAAACCATTCTCTGCAAATTCCTTAGCCCTCTAAGATCTTGTGGCACCAACCCTGACAAACCATTGCTGCTGAGATCAAGGTCAACCAAGCTATCAAGGTCACCAAGTTGTGCAGGTATTGAAGAAATTAAACTATTGTCCGAAAGATTCAGACTTTGTAGCTTTGAAAGGGCCCCAATGCCGGGAGGAATTGACCCCGTTAAGTTATTTGAAGAAATGTCAAGACTCGTTAAATCCCTTAGTGAGACAAATGATGATGGTATAGATCCAGTAAGCAAATTCTTCGAAAGATCAAGAACTAAAAGGCTTAACAATTGACCCAGAGTAGAAGGAATTTGCCCAGTGAGCCTATTATCTGACAAATATAGACTAGTTAAATTAGTCAAATTGCCAATACTCGAAGGTATAACACCTGTGACATTACAAGACCTGAGATCCAACACTTGCAGCGTCAACAGCCTTTGGCCAAACCAATTAGGAATAGAACCAGGAAGCAAGAATTTAGATGCATTAAAAGAAACCAAATGCGAAAAATTTGCGAGAGAATCAACAGCGAACTGTGGGTTTTGTTTACCAACCCTTGTTCTTCTAAACCCAGAAATGTTAATCCCAATAACACTACCATTTTCACATGTTATACCGTTCCAACGTGTACAAGGATCAACTTTTCTAGGCCATTCTCTGCTTCTAAGCCCCAAAGAGGATCTGAGTTCAAATAAAGCTGTAAACTCAATGCCTGAACTCAGTCGCTGCTGCTGCTGCTGCACTTGTTGCCCAAATGTAGACTCAAATAACAGCAAGAACATGAGATATAACAAAGCTACTCTTATGCTACGCTGATCCACCATGGCTTATGGACACCAACCCCAATCATCTAAACATTCTTTTTTTTCTCTCTCTCCATTCTTAATACATGTATCTTTACATGTAATGAAAATTGGACAAAAATAAAAGATACCCACTTCAGTAAAAATGGTTACTTTCTTTCTCTTTTGTAAGACTCAACACCCAAAAAAAGAACACAAAATAGCTCTTACCTTGAAGCACCAAAGCTCTATTTTTTTAATTCTTCAAAACTGTTGGTAACCAATCCGTGTCAACTTCTCTTCTTCTTCTTTGCTTGCTTTTTTCTCTCTAAATCCTTCAGTTTCTAATGTTGACAAAAGAGAATAAGACAGAGGGAAAAGAAATTTAGAAAAAAAAAAAAAAAAACTACAAATGTTTAATGAATTAATCAATAATAATTCTAGAGAGAGAACGAACTGAAGGAGGCCGGTCAAAAACTCAAGTGGTGGACTTTTACACTCTGTCTCTTTCCTTTTTCTTGTTCTGAACGGACTTTAAAAGGTTTAATTTTTAAGCTCTGACAAATCAACTTATGAAAAAAGAGTTGATCTTTCAGAGGGACAAAAAAAGGGGTAAGAACAAAGGGGTAAGAATTAAAAAGAAGTCTTAATAACAGGCTTGAACCACTGGCTGCGTGATTTTGGTCTGACAACAGAGCCAGGTCCGGCGCTGGTTCGGGTTTTTAGTTTGACCTCCGGTAATCCCGCCCAAGCCAGCTAAGCAAAGCTTCGTAAAAAAAACAAAAAAAGAACTTCTCTATCACTTTCTCTTTCTTTGTTCCATTGTCTTGTAATAACTTCTTCAAGGTTTTCTCATGTTTCCCGTTTTTGTTTTGGTTTACGATGTTTTGTTTGTTTTTGTGGGGAGGAAAAACAACTGGATTTTTGGAATGAATTTCTGTCACTCAACGGTTCAAGGAAAGTTACAGTACTAGTTACCAGTGATAAAAAGAGGCACCTAAATTTACAGTTCATAGGGCTGGAAAAATCTGCTATTTACTATTCAAGCAACAGATATTACTTGCATTTGTTTTAAGTCCCTGTTATGGTGGGTTCATGTGGGACTGCACTGGCCTGGGTAGGTGATCCTAATGTACTTGTTTCGCTTAATCAAATAATTCGGCCATCCAATTTTTTTTAACTCTTTTCAAGTTCAACCTTTTGTTGGGTTTTTTTAGGAGCTTTATCAAGAATATGAACAAAAATAAAAATTTAATCCCAAATCTGAAATCTCCATCTCTTCTATTGATAATATTCAAACTCTTATCTCCTTTGCTTTGATTCCATTTCCAAGTCTCAAATTATAGTTTGATAAGTATTTTAATGTTGGATCTCAATTGGAATTTTTTTATTGAAGATAAGAGATTGAACTGCAATAGTTTTTTTTTTTTTTTTGGATCACAATATTTAAAGAAAGCATTAATTAAATGAAAGACTTGTTGACTGGTGTGAATCTTAGTGGGATCACTCAAATTGTCATTTTTAACAAAAGCTGTTAAATAATTGTGAAAGAAATGCTTGTATGTAACATCAATTGAAATCAGTAATTTCTTGAATAATTTCTTGGCATTCATGAGGTTCATTAAACATTTATTTAACGTTTACCATTACAAGAGCTTCGCATAACTGACAGCTTCTGAAACTCATGAGTTATGACAAATCCACTTTGCAACTTCATACCCACTTTTTCAATGGATCCATCCAAGTTTTTTTTTTTTATACAACTTGTCAGCATGAAACTTTGTTTCATACTACAGCTAGGGCAAGATGGAGCTTTTCTTCATCTGGAAAAAAAATGATGATAATCTTCCTCTTTCAATACCAAAAATCTCTTTCATGCATGGAAAAAAACTATAAGACAGAAACATATTGTACTGCAATATAATTGTTTTTTTTTTTTTCACACTGATTAAAACATTGACTTGTGAAACTCTTTAAGTTTGGTGTCAAGAAAATGACACATGAGATAGAGAAAAACAAGATCATTGAATAACTACAATGATTAGAACCAAAGAAGAAGGAAAAGATAAGACAAAACCCAATTAAGAGAGAGAGTGAAGCCTTTCTTCTATTCTGGTCCCCTGCTTCTGGCAACGACTATTACAACCACCAGGATCTTGACTAAAATATAACCAGGATCTTGACTAAAATATAACAATGCTCCCTGAAAAGTTATGTCGACCACCAAGAGAAAATTGACGTCATGACTTGTTACTCTCAAGGCAATTTTCTTGCTTGTGGAAATAGTTGCTTCTAATTTTAATGTCTAGATCCTGAAGTTGAACCATGCTTACTTTTGAAACGTATCCCCATGGTTTTTTTCAGATGTTGAATTCCAAGTCTCCAACCATTATTTCTCATAATCACTTTCAACGCCCACCTCCCAAAGAAGATCACTTTCAATCAATTAAACACTGTGAACGTTAATTATGAGTCAAGTTTATTTCCAGTCATTCGCTCCATGGAAATGCATTTAATTTTTGGTTTCAACCTCGCTTGCTAGAAGCCTAGAACGTTACTTTGTTGCTTTCAAGAATACCCATTTCATTAAATCATACAAGCAAGACTTTGAGCTGGTCAGGTATGCCCGCCCCCCTCAATTGAATGCTGAAGTTCTAGCAGCAGCACAAGGGTGAAAAGTCCTTTCAAATCCTAAGTAGAAATTTTACCGCTGCTGTTGCTGTTTTTTATTGATCATTTTGGGTTCAGTCTATTGAATGAGTTATGGTCAACAGCGACAAAAAATATTTTTTTGAAGTAGCTAAGGATGGATTGTTAGGTCTCAGCCTATGCCATAGCCAATAACGCACCAACTGCAAAAATAATCTGACCCTTTTTCTAATCAACAAAATATTTCAAATCTCTAGCTTTACTTTGCGTGAATTTAAAAGTTCAAACCATATGTTGCAAAAATGATAATGATAGAAACTTTCTAGCTATTGGAATTTGGAACCCATCAAGCATCAATAAACTATCAATTTAAAGGGAATTCTATCAGTCAATATTAGAATCAAATGTAGATCGAATGCATGCCAAAAAAGGGGTGATTTTCTTATCACTTGTTTAAAATGTATCAATAAATGATTTAAAAGAACAAGAAACAAAGGTTTTGTATGTGAATCAAAACTTTTTTGATTGGGTAAAACTTGACAAATCGGAACTTTTCCATAAACTTGATGCTAATAGTTATTTACAACAAGAAAAAGAAAAACAAAACAAATCAAATCAAAATAAAAGGACATGACAAAGATGATAACCTGTTGCCATGGCTTTCCTCCCTTACCACACGGAATCTGCCTAAGCAATGACTAAAGACGTAAAAATGGTCAAAATCCTAGGCAAAGGCAAGTGGGTTTTATGTTCCCATGTCAGAAAGGCCATGAACATCAAATTTTCAAACAAAAAGAAGGCAACAAACTAGTGGAAGGTACTGTTGGAAATGCACATTTATCCTGCTTTCCACGATTGCTATTTGGTAAGAAAATGCTTCAACGACAATAGTCACCAACGTTCCTCGTTGTTGTTTTACTTTTCCAATCATCAAGCTCAATTTAATTTTACATGTCAAAGTAATATATATACTTCCATTATATATTAAAACTCCACGTAACATTTTTTTAACGTCAAAGATATTTTTATTGTGGTTTTTTTTTTTATTAATTCAATTGAATCAAAATTTTCTTATAAATTGAAATTATTAATTGTTGATATCGAACTCCAAACTAAGAGTCAAATTTTTAAAACCATAACCAAAATAAAAAATAATTAAAGGCCAAAATAAAAATTATTTTTAATGTTTGCATTCTCATACTCAAATTTGAGATCTATTATTGGAAATCAAAAGAAGAATATAAAATGAGAAAAATAAAAAAATAATAAGATGAATAAATAATATTTAGATGGTTTTATTTTAAAAGAAAAAAATGAGAGATTTATTGGGTAAAATGATAATATAATCGAGCTAATGTAATATTACATATGTTAAATCGATCTGATATATTAAATTAATTCAAAAATTAAAAATATTTTTAATCATTTATTGACATTCTTTAATAAAAAAACAAAAAAAATTGATTTATGTTTGAGATCCAAAAATACATCTAACAATAGTAATTATTAGAATTTGACATCACTTTGATTTTTAGGGCCATATTGGACGTTGACTCATTCCTTCCTCCCTTACTTGTATAACATAAAGACGTTACTCGATCTTAATTTTAGTCAACATTTAAGTATTTCACGAAACAAATATAACAAATTGCAAAAAAAAAAAAAATTAAAGCATAGTCAACCATGATGAGCCACCACTTGTAGTTGTGGGTAAACAATTTGATTTTTTTTTTTTTATCGATAAAAAAATCGGCGACTTTATCATCCACCAAACCTTAATAATTTCAAAGATTTTTTTTAGTAGTTATTCAAACGGCAAGAAATCAATATGTCTCAAGGTTTTTTTTTTTCTTAGTGATTTATTACATTAATTCAAGCAAAGACAAAATGCGTTTGTTGTGAGGACAATATCTTAAAATATGAGAGTTTAATTGATTTTCTAATATATTATAGGGAATTTCTAAACTTAAATTATAATTAATAAAATTAATAATCAAATACTTTATCAATAAATTATACGGTTAATGGTTAATAACAAAGGGAAACAAATCTAACCAGCTGTTGTATTATTCCCTTACCAATATTTTTTTTTTCTTGTTCTCAAGAATTGTCCATCCCTTGAAATTACAGAAGGAACTGTTTGTCTCAGGGTCTTGTTGTCCCTGTACATTTCACTTCAGTTTCGAAGAACCATGTTTCCGTTAGGAACGTGCATTAAAATTTACATGAGAAAGGGCCTCAACAACAATTTTAACGAAGTCAAAAACAAAACACAAGAACAGAAAGTGAAACCTCAACAACAGCCTTCATAATCCTATTCCCATGGACCCCAAGTGGCTGCTGATCATTCATGATTTGCCCTTTGAATACTCTCATGTTCTAAACTTCATTATAACATATTAATTAATATATTACCATCATTTACAGGTTAATGTCACTTTTTGATACATATTAAGTAGTATTAATAACTCAACTATATACCTTAAGTTCAGAATCCAGACTGTATAGTCTGATTCTTTTTTTCATTTGTCAATTGAAATTCTATAATCCCACAGTATGTAAGTACTGAAATCAATGTCCAAATTCCATTCCAAAAGAAAACAAAAAAAAAAAGTGATAAAATAGACTGATTCTTCATCTACTTATGGCAGGAGTTGGTGGCTATGTGTATCTCTGCAGCTGTACAATATATATTGCAGGGAGTAAGCAGTAAGAACAGTTGTTGCAATTGATTTTTACAGTAATTTTTAAGAGCTGATATTTAGTAAATTTAATATTTAAATTTTATTACTTGTTCTCAAAGTTGTGATTTTTTTTTATAAAAAATAATATAAATTAAATAATCATATTTTAATTTTGAGTGCTTTACTGATTCAATTCAATTTATTTGTGGTTAGCACGCAATGCATAGTTGCCAAAAGCACACCTGAAGCCTGATGGACTTTCCAGGTTTGCACCCAAAATAATTAACAAAAATAAAAACTTGAAGACTTTCCAGGCTAATCTGTACTATTTTATGATTAATCATTTCCCCTGTTTTTGGATTCATGCCATTGAGGATTCTTTACGTTTCCTTTTCCCATTGTGAGTAGTTTTCTTTCAAGATTGAAGGCTTACAAAAGTTAAAGTAAACCAAATAGATACAACAAATATGCTTCAAATTCAATTAAAGATGTTTATCTCCTTGTAAAAGTTAGTTGAAAATACACTTTTTAGTAAAAAGAAATAAAAAGTAATATTATCTTTTATTATAAGAGTTTATATTTAATGTATTATCGATATATTTTATACATTATTAATACATAAAATTATATTATCTCAATGATAAAAAATTTTAACATTCACTAATAATTTATAAAATTTATATATTAATAATGCATCAAATATAAAAAAATTTATTTCGAAACTTTTTTTTTTTGAATTATAGATTAAGCATTATTGGTAAAGGGAGAGAGAAGAGAGATTAAAGGTAATAACGATTCAAATAAGATCAAATTCGATTCAATTTTTTTAATATTATATAATATT